CCGAATAGCGCAAACTGATGCCAAATTCAGTGAGTAAACTGAAACCTTCGTTTTGCACACGGTACCACTTTCTGTTCGAGTATTTGCACAAACCAGTGCGACTGGTAGCCGAAAGAAGTTGCCAAAAACAAACTTTGGACCTCACTTTTGAACACAATGGGACACAAACTGGCACGATGTCAAAGAAAGATTCCGCGAGTACACACGAGTGACCTGGAGTGTGGGCTTGGTTGCGTGGTCGGTGACTCGAGGCAATGCGAAAGTTGCGCTGTTTGGGACATCGAACAGAAAGGACAAATTGGACAGGAGTCAAACCGGCCAAAGTGATCGTATTAGTGGATGGATTGAACAGTGTGGGAACGGCGACTGTGGTACTTTTAAGGTTGCCACTGTGTGCCAAAACAAATAAATAGGGTCAAAAACGGAGGTGGACCAAAACAGTTTGGCCATAACTTTGAAGCCAGCGGCGTATCCACAACGGCCCTACACCCAATTGCGCCCTTCCAGGGCATCGTTTGGTGTGGTCGGTTTTGGGATTTGGGCGTGGCGTATGAGTCACAGCGAGTACCGAAATTGAAAAAAATTTGACTTTGAGGTCGCCAAATAAACGTTTATTTCTGTTTATCAGTGGTTGGAAATCCCAAACGTGCCAAAAAACTTTCATCGAGTTGGAATCAGGGCCTGTGGTCGAAGAATCGATGCCTAATTTTTTTGTGCCAAAAAGTGCCAAAATTAAAAGAGCATTACAAATTTTGTGCTTTTTGCGAAACCTTTCACCAGACGTGTACCTACCCAACAATCCACTTAATGGATAGAAGGTCGCGGCGCATCTTTGTGATGTATGGTTTTCCAAAAAAGTTGAAGATAATTGTGCCATTTTGCCACAAAGTTTTGAAAAATGTGCCAATTTCAACGTTTTGCGCTATATTCTGCCCAGTAGTGGTACCATCAGCTTGCGAGGCTCATCTTCAAAGGGCCGTCTCCAGGCGCAGTTTTGGATTGTATTGGTTTTGTTTGGCTGGCGTGAGTCATAGATACGTCAAAATGTCGATTTAGCCCATTGTGTCAAAAAATTGTTTCTCTTTTGTGAAAACAGTGTAGTGTGGGTAAATAGTTGGAAAAATATAGGTAATTAGCTCTTCTTTTATGTGCGTTGAGTATTTGCCAGTACTATACAGTTTTTACAGAATGCACATTTGTAATGGCCGGTATTTGAAATAAGTTACGCGCATAGACTTCTGTGATACAATGAAGGTACTCGGATGTTTATTCAGCAGAACGAAAGATCTCTGTGATACGAATCTGATTGTGGTCTTGCGTTTTGGGGTTACACCTGGAATGACTCACGTCATATGACGGCTGAAGTTTTGAGCATTTTTATTGGTGTAAGTGTTCTTCGGACTAGGCCCGTCCGCATTTTGTGTTCTTGACTTCGAAGCTTTATTCCATATTTGGCAACTGTATAGAATTACGAAATTAGGGCTGGGCTTTTTGAAGGGTTTTACAAGTCATCTGCTTGTGTTAAGTTGTTTGTTAATGTGGGCTGGTTATAAGATGTCACACTGACTCAAATAGTTTTATTTTTTGACTGATTTGTTATAGTTTTTTATCAAAAACAGTCTCTACATCTGAATGAATACAAAGAGAAAGAAATCGTCTGAATTGCGATTCGAATGTACTATTATATGAGGTTTAATTTAGCATTTGATGATTCTAAGAGCGTTTTTACATTCTTATGGTACGTAACGTATGAGCCTTGCTTTTGTTGCGTTTCTAAGCATTATGTCAAACTCTCATTAATATAGAGTGTTTAGGGCCAAAGCGCTCATTTTTGAATGCTTTTTTGCAAGGGCGACCTTTGGGTGGTTAATTTGTAGATGGGGCTGGCTGTAGATCATAGTGACAGTCAATAGTCTTCAATTTCATACGAATTTTTTAAATAAACTAAATTATCAATTACATGTTGAACATCAAAATGAATAACAACAATGAAGAAGATTCATCAAAGCGATTTCGATGGTGGGTATTGGTTTTGTTTTACTTTAGGAGAATAATAGTTTTCCATGATGTTCCTTTTTTTGTATGCAGTGTCTAAGAATGGCCCGGCCCATTTCTGGTTTCAATTTCAAGCTTTATGTATAATCTCAAACGCCTATTGAGTTATGGTTAGAGTTCAAGCGCTCATTTCGAAAAGTATTGCAATTGTGATTTTTTTATGGCTATTGTCTTCTGATTGGGCGTGGCGTGATGTCATGTCTTTATTTGAAGGATATATTTTTAAACATATAATAATTTTAATATCAACACAATATATTCAACTGAAAATCTCTAGAATCATTCGAAGGTTGAAAATTGGTTTTCCTGTAAGCGTGCAGGGATCTACAACCTCTTATCGTTTTCTCAATTTGTTATATAGTTTTGATTTAAACAGAACATTTTTTCGTCGATGAGGGTCTGTGTTCTACCTAGGCATCATCGATTTCTCGCAAGATAAAGACCTTTGTTGTTTTCATTAATCTGGAATATAGTATGCTTCTTTCTTAGTTCGAGATAATCAGAAATGTCAATGCGGATACATGTTTGGCCTACGGTGGTGTATTCGCGTACGTGTATCATAATCACTATACAGCATGACTAATTAGGGCGATTAACTCATAACTGTAACCAAAAATGATGGATAAATATAATTGTTGTTTAATGGTATCTATATATCTGTGAACGGTACTGTCAATCATTATATTCGTTGAGATCTCTCCTTTGAAATTATTTGTTTTGCATTAGTTGTGGTTTCTCCTGTGGAGCCCTTATCCATACGTAATAAGAGCTGATCTATAAACATCCATCGATTCTATTTTAGTCTTTTTCCGACTGTATTCATTCTCAATAGATCCGAATTATCATGACTGTACATAGTGAATGTTAAATGTGTGAGTTGTTGCAAAAAATTGGTTTAATTTTGTTAGTGTAATTTGTTTTTATTACTAAAATATATTGCATTTCCCATGAGATATGCGTTCTCTTTCATGTCCTGCTCTATCGTGATTGATCATGTGATTTATCTGCTTTAAAAACTAATTGAAAATTATTCCCCAAAGGAGACTTTGAACACCTAGGTGAGTACGTTACTTTTTTTTTTCTGAGCTGAGTCTATCGTTATAGAGATAAAGGGGTTGGCTCAGCCTCTTATATCTTTGAATTGGTTCTAACTTTTACTGGTTTAAAGCTCGTGCTCTTAGAAATATTCTTATGAAAAAATAGTATAACTGTCTCTATTGTGCCTAATTGCGTCCCCCATCCGCTAATTAATTATTTGAAAATTTGTCCAATTGATTTTGGCACTTTGTGTTAATTACTGTAGTGAAATAGCGTAGCATATGGAATTATTGTTGATGATAAATAATAGCTATATAATAGTGAATAAGTGTACTTACTTACTCTAAATGCATTTGAGTGTTCAGTATATGTAATTCATATTTAGACCCTCCGGTAATTAACCCCCCCCCCCCCCCTCAATTAATTTTTGAACATAAAATCCGTCCCCTCCCATTTATTATTACCTCCCGGTAGTTAGGCACCAAAGAGTAGCGATGGCTACTAAATAAAAAATAGATTCTTGGCATCCTGTAAACTTTTCTGATATCTACTGAACTTGACAGTATGTACATTTTCCCCGTTTCATCTTCTTCCCATGATAGGCAGCCAAAATGTTTTACATTACATTAAGTTACGTGTCAATTAAAGGAATGGGTATATAAACTTTTCTAAAGTTTTGTGGAGTAAATTATCATTTATATTTTAGAAAATGGAGACCGAAAATATTTTCAAACAAAAAAAAGGTGAACTGTGTGAAGGGGAAGAAGGAGTTGAGCAGGAGACAGATGTATGATCTTATGTTTTATTATTATATCATAGGTCTTAATTATTGGATTTTTTATAATTTTTAACTAATCCACAGAGAGGCAGGTTTTTCTTAGCAATGCCAGTATGAACTTCATAACTGTTTAACTTTTTTACAATTTTACTTTTCCCACGCTTTGTTGCAACGAATCACTAGAATATCGAGAATGATTATGCTGAATTAATCTTTGGGTTTGATTAGGCTTAGAAATGTACATGCTTTCATCAATATTTTCATTGAATGTTTATTAGAAGCTGTAATTTTTAGCATAATTTTGTGATGACCGATGATATCTCGTCAGCTTAACAACAATAATTGTCCCCTATCAATTGCCGTCTCCCCATCTGCTAATTAATTGTTGAAAATTTGTCCAAATGACTTAAGCACTTTGTGTTAATTACTGTAGTGAAATAAGCGTAGCATAGGCTAAATATTGTTGATGATAAATAATAGCTATATAATAGTGAAATAAGTGTACTAATTTTAAGTGCAATTTGAGTGTTCAGTGAATGTAACTTCATAATTTAGACCCCTCCGGTAATTGGAACCCCCCCCCTCGCCAATTGATTTTGAACATAAAATCCGTCCCCTCCCGTTTATTCTGACCCGCCGGCAATTAGGCACCTAAAAGTAGCAATGGCTATTAAATAGAATATTGATTTTTGGCATCCTGAAAAAACTTCTGATATCTACTGAACTTGACAATATGTACATTTTCCCCGTTTCATCTTCTTCCCATGATAGGCAGCCAAAATGTTTCACATTACATTAAGTTACGTGTCAATTAAAGGAATGGGTATATAAACTTCTCTAAAGTTTGGTGGTGTAAATTGTCATTTATCTTTCAGAAAATGGATACAGAACAAAGCTTCCGAAGTGTTGTGGAGGAGATGGATGTATGATCTCATGTTTTATAATATCCTTAGTCTTGACTATGAAAATTTTTGTTTTTTTAATTAATCCACGGAGAGGCATGTTTCCCTTAGCAATGCTAGTGTGAATCTCACAACTTCTCAACTTTGCTTAAATTTCACTTTTTCCACCCCATTGCTTTGGAATTTCATTGAATTTTGTTTAAGACAGATTAGAATTGCACATTTTAATACCTTCATTTAGCGTAATATAGAACCTACCATACCAGCAACAGATTGGCACAGTCAAGCGCCATTCTGCTATGATTTTTATTTCACTTTTTTCAACTGCCTAGCATGAATAGTAAAATAGTGATTTTAAACATTATTTTCTGACTTTGACAACAATAATTTTACCCTATCAACCGTTACTCTCTACGTCTCAGAAATGATTATATAATTTTAAAATATTTTTTATAGTCTTTTCGTATAAATTTTCCATTACCTTCCAGGAGGTAGAAAGCGGAGAATCCTCAGCGGGGGAAGAGAAGGTATCATCGCATTCCTTTTTATTATTTCACATTAAAAAAAAATGTTGATTTTACGCTATCAATCGTTACCCTTCGTGATGATAGGCAGCTTAAAAAAGGTTGACTGTTTGCGTTAAAAATTTTTGAATATCTTTTAGGAAGTCGAAAAAGACAAAAAAAGAAAAAGGAAGGAGCAGCAGGTGGAAGTTGTGGTCGGGGGAAGGAAGAAGGTATGATCTCATGACTTTGCATTATCTAACAGGAGTAAGAAACCTTTGCTCCTTTTCTTATTGCCACAGGTAGTAAATATTTTTCAGCAAAATTAATATGAACTTCATAAGTGGACGTTCTGCTTGACCTGCATTTAAAGTTGAATTAAATTTTGTTATAATTTTACTTTCTTCCACCCGACTCCTTGACCATTAGGCTTTGTTGGAATCAATCAATAATGCATCAAAATGATTATTCTAAATTGCTCTTGAGGGTGAAGCTTGTGATTTAGACTGATTAGAACTGTAAATCTTGATATATTTATTGGATATTCTCTAGATGCTGCCATACCAAAAAAAATTTGGCGCTATGAAGCGCCAAATCTCAAAGACGTTTAAAATCAAAAGAAAATCCCCATTCACAATGGTGAATGGGGACAGGGAAAGATTGAAGGAAATAAGGTATTTATGACAATATATCCCTACTGTATTTTCATGCTTAGTGACTTGATGAGCTTCAATATTCTTGTAGACTTTATTCTTATAAAAAAGTGTGTATTCTCAATAAACAAGCATTCAGTTTCTTTTTTACAAACATCTATGTTCGGAAATGCTCCCCTTCATCTATGAGCCCATTTAATAATAAGCTACTAAAACCGTGTAAAGATATTAAGCCCCTACATCTGCACAGATTTCAAATTATGTCTCTATACCTAGACACCTTTTGGTGATATTATTGAGATAATTTCCTTTTTCATCTTAACAATACTCTCATTATTTATGAGAAATAAAGGTCGATGCTGACTACTCCAGTTTCTTGATGTTCTGGAAATTTCAATACTCATTGTTCTTAAAAGTTTCTTAATTATGGTGTCACGAGTGACCTTTTTTATCACATCAATAGATTCGCTTCCGTTATGTGTCTTAAGTTCTAGGCAACAAAGTATTTTTTCGTTTTGGTCTTAAGTTCTAGGGCAACAGAATAATAGTAGGGCAATGCTCTTGGATTTCACAAAATTTCGTTGCTCTCAGTTGTTCAAGTCACGATTATATATTTTCTTAATTTTTTAGCTTCGAGTACTACAGTTTCATAATATTTTTTACTGTCCAGCACTTATCAAAAAATGATTGTATTTCAATGTCTCTGTTGCATAATTAATGTCGGCTAAGTAACGTTTCTCTTCTCCCTACAGACCAGGGATGACAATTATAATCCAATTTTTAGAAAGACCAAAGAAAGCACAAAAAAGCCCTGAAAAAGGGTCAAAATACATATTTCTTGCGGGGAGCAGACCTGTTTTTCATCGTTGACATTTTTTGTTCGTTGTTTAGTTTAGTTTTCTAGTTTGTTTAGGTGTTTATGTTTATTTTATAAATTTGTTGTTCATTGTAAATTGTATATACAGTTAAAGATGGTTTTATGTGTTGTTGATATATTATTGTTAGAACGAAATTGTGGACATTCATGTTCTTTTGTCTTCCGTGCTATAACGAGCTTGTGCAATATTGTTGTTTCTGTCATACATTGATTGAGAACTGTTTTAAATGCTTCATGCAAGTTCAATGACCTCGTATTATATCAAAAGGAATAAGATATAATTTCAATGAGCTATGCAAGTTAAATGGTTTAATGACCTTTACTGATTATAACTGTTCACAAAAATGGGGGTTTATTTGCCCATCCCATGTTAGACATCAATATACATTGCACAAAATGAATGATATCATTGGAGCAAATCGAATGATAGTAATGGTTTTGGTTTTACTTTAGAAATCGATGTTTGAATGATGTTTCCATTTTTTGTAATGCAGTGTCGAAGAGGCCCGGCCCCTCATTTTGTGTTTCAATTTCTAGGATTTATTGTCATAGCTCTCAAACGGTCTTGAGTATGTTAGGGGCCAATGGCTCATTTGCAAGGATTTTGCAAGGGGAATTTTTTAGATTGGGTGGGCTGTGATGTGATAGTGACGTCTTGAATAGTCTTGAATTTCAAGGAATTTTTTTAAATTAATTGGTTCAATGCATGTTGCACATCAAAATGAATAACACCAAATAAAAGATCTCACCAAAGCGATTCAAACGGTGGTAACGGTTTTGGTTTCACTTCAGAAATTGATGTTTTTTATGATGTTTTGAATTTTTTTATAATGCTTTGTCCATGTGGCCCGGCCCTCCATTATACATTGCAATTTCTAGGCATTCTTGTCATAAATCTCAAACGGTATGGAGTATGTTAGGGGCCAAAGGCTCATTTTGAAGGGTTTTGCAATTGGAATTTTTTGGGTGATTACCTTCTGGATTGGGCGTGACTGTGATATCATAGTGACGTCATAGTTTTTAATTGCCAGGTCTTTTGAAGGATTATTTTATTGAATATATGTTGCACATCAAATTGAATTACACCAACTGAAAGATCTCATCGATTCGAATGGTGGTGATTGGCTTTCTGTAGCGAAAGAAAGTTAGTTTATTATTGCAGCATTCTTTTTCAAACACTTCATCGATTGCTTTCACCTATACTACATCATGGACAGGGCATTCATTTCAATTGATGCGATTAAGGGTCTGTTGTTATATTTTATCTTCAAAATTGTCAAGCAACGAATGATGTCTCTTTTTTGTTCTGATGATTGTTTACATAAAGATCAAATTCCATCCAGACAGCAGG